GGTTGTTCAAGGACCGAACCTCCTCGTCAACCAGTTTGTCCAAGTTGTACGCAAAAAGGCGTGTGAAAAAAAAACAGTGACGAATCTGCTTGAATGCGTGTTCTTTATCCTCATGTCCTTATAGGAGCGTAGTCTTCATCAGCGGATTCGGACGGGCGAAAGCGAAAGCGGTTTCGTCGTTGAATGGGCGTGGGTTCAGGTCGCTCGCGAAGCGTTCGGTCCGGAAGGACAGGTCGTGCTGCGCCTACGGGGTGCTAGCGGAGCGGCAGCTGGCTCACCTAACGGGAAAGCGTCTTGCGCACCAGGCAGCGGCGGCATGGTCCAGACTCCAAGCGCGGAGCTGGCGACGGCTCGCTGCAGGGCAACCGACAGCACACTCCACCACCGGCGCGCCCAGCCCTGGTCTGCAGCGGCGCGCAAGGGTGGGGCGCGTTGGACACGGAGCCGGAATAGGTTACGCAGGATTTGCTGGCACTCGTCGCTCCAGCAGCCCCCGACTTCTGCAGCTATACGAGTCGTTGAGGCCCTCCTCGGGTCAATTCCGCGTAGCGCGCGACTTTGCGTCGGCGCGCCGCGACAAGCGCGACTCCCTCCCGCGCGTCAGCGCCGGGGACGGGGCTGCCAGCGCGAGTAAACGGGGAGACGGGGGTTGCGTTGCAGAACAACGTTTCGGAAGTCGACCGCCTCTAGGTCTAGGTAGTTTCCGACAGTGGGACACGTTGTGCGGACGTAGAAAGGTGCGGGGAAAAAATCCGTCGCTGCTGCTGCTGCTGCTGCTGCTGCTGCCGCCAGGTGGCGCAGGCAGATGTACGGTGAGCTCCACAGTGGTAGAAATTGCCCGTTGGCTCGTGCTTGGCCTACAGGTTGGTGGCCGTTGGGGCACCATAACAGCTTACTTCCTTAGCCTTCCAGTCCTTGCACGCTCCCGTGCCACACCTGCTGAGCTTTGTTAAGCCGCGCGAGCGTGGGTGCTCCGGTGATGGCCTCGTCGCGGAGGTTGTGTAGCGAGCGCTTGAGCTCGTGCTGCCGGCCCACCGGTCGCAGTAGGATGGAAAAGCGTCGCTGATTGCAACTCACGGTAGGAAGAAAAAGCATAACTGTAGTTTTGTTGAGGTATATAGAATTGACTTGGATTACGACCATGACCAAGACCAGTTCCTAGTCAGGACGATGACGATGAAAACGCTCACGAAAACAATGGTTATGACGAGGACCATGACGATGACGATGACTATGACTCCACCACGGGCATGACTGCAGGAATTCCAGTCGTGGACGTCAGGCAGCAGCGAACCAAGTACGAAGGTGGGCAATGAGGTGGTCGAAAACATGGTATACAAAGCACAGCGAAATCAAGGATTTGTGCTCGTTTTACCGGCGCATTTTCCCACATCCAAGGCCGGATGGACTCCACATCCACGCACACGGACGCATGCCATGCAGCTCACACCGCTCGATATGCCATGGCAGCGCCGAGAGGCGCAAATGCGACACCCAGCCTAGAATGTGATGTCTAGTTACGGCCTCGAAATATGCATGCTTCCTTTTAAAATGCCTGTGCCACGTGTGCCCGAAAATTTTTTGTTACTACGGGTATTCCCGTTTGATTGCATCTTCAGCAGCATGAAATCAAAGTGGTCGGATTACAGGCTGTACGTTTTCGTGATTTTTGCATCGCTTGTTTCAATCAAGTCACCAAGCACTGATGGCAGCTTCTGCCACACACTATCTAAACTCAGCCAGCCTGCCAAATCCTACCCTTCTCATGCCTAGCTCTCGTTTGATGAAATCTCTATATAACCCAAGGAAAACGCATCCGGATTACCACCAAAACAATTTGGAACGCGCCCCTAATCCTTCTATTACTTTCACTACTTCTACTACTAAAGTGGCATGGGGCTTGGTTGCAGATTCCAGCAGCCATAAGCCATGGCATGACATGTGGAACTGTCTCGAATGACCACGGAACTATCAGTACCAGTTGCTAACGAGAGAAACATGTCGTTTACCGCATGTTGGGCGTTCGCTGCACCAGATGTTTTGCACATCGCCTGGTTCGGCGGCATGTCGCGTCTCCGTCTCGCAAGGATATCATTTTCTTTTTGTTGTATGATGTCAGTCCGTTTGCTGAGGTCGAGCCGAGAAGGTGCTGTTCTGATTCAGTTTTCCTGAATGTTGGACACGCTCGTGCAGGTCCCTGGGCATCGTTGCATACACTGGCCGATCTTTGTCAATCGCTGCAGCCCCAATCCGTGGGCACGCGCATGCCCATCGTGCAATGACAATGATTCGGCAGGCCAACTTTGCAGGATGCCTGGCAATCCGTGGAGGGGTTGGTGAAGCGCATGCTCCCAAGCACATTGCAGACTTGCAAACAGTCTCTGCGGATTCCAGCGTCTTTGCTTTTGTGGGCCACGGCAGCATGTGTGTCAAGTTTTCGGGTAGCCAGAAGGGCAGGCCATGCCTCGCACAAGATGCATGTTGTGATGGAAGTTTACAGGCCGTGTTCTGCTTGTACATTTCCAGCAACACGCTTACACAGTACTTTGGTGCATCGGCGCAGTGTTTCACATGGCTTTGCGGCAGAAATGCACCGGACACAATCTGCGCAACACCGTGGCCAGTCTGCACTGCTGTGTGGTGTTGGGTGGCTCAATCGTGTCTGTGAGTTGTTGTGCAGTGTAGCGTTCCTAAAGTTTGCCGTTGAAGCTGGCGCGCCATTGTGAGTGTTTGTGTCGAGGCTGGTGTGACTGCGGATGCAGCGATTCGGCGATTGCAAGAAGCTTTCGAAGTGTTTCAGAGGACTCGCCTTCTCTTTGTCAAGCGGCCTAACTTGCTTGACACATTTCGGCTGAGCTGCAGGACGCCACAGGGTCAAGGTCAGCAGCTCGAAGACCAAGCGCGAGTTGTTGTAAAACCTGACATAATGGAACATCCATCTGGCGATGTGCGGCTGTGGGCGGCGCTGCTAGCTTGCAACTTGCAGTGGTTGAAGTGCGGGAATAATCCGGTAACAGCGGCTAGATGCACTCTGGTCACTATGTGTTCCCAGTACAGTGTGCCACCCTATAGCCACACACAGGAACGCAAGCCAAACACATCCTGAGCACAGCTGACGCTTCTCATTCGGCGAAGATGCGAGGTTCCAACAACAGCTGTAGCAAGGATGGCGGCCAAACTCCTCCTTTTCGATATACGTGTATTGGATGTCTGTTGTGGTGACAACGTCGCCGACAATCACATTGGGGAGCAGGGGACCACAGATCAGAGGAGGGTGTGGGGGCCGTGTGGAGGGATGGAATGGTGATGGAATGATACGTTCGAGGCCAAAGGCTCCAAAGGTCACTACGTCACTGAGGAAATGTTTGGCTGAAGTGCTGATGATCTTCGTGCCGAAGCCACCTATCGAGCGAGACAGGAGAATCAATTCAGTGTTCCGCTCCTTGCAGCCGCTTTTTGCTGGATAAACACGTGGTTAAGCAGAAACCAGCACAGGATCTCGAGCGTGCTCCAGTCGTTCACCGATCAGATGGTATGGTTGTCAGACCCAGCTGCAACAAATTACAAGCATGCTTTCGATTTGTTTCGCAGGCTCGCGGGCAGACCTGAACAGTGTCGATAATTCAGAAGCAACGCATCTAATGTGTTCTTCTCGGCAGGCTCGTCGACATACGTGGAGACCCGGATTGATTCAGATCTGGTTCGGCCAGGGCAGCAACAATGGCACGGGGTCATCACATGAAGCGATGCTGAGCCCAGGTTTCATGCTCGTGTTCGAGACTGCAGCTCCGGAGGTCTTGCTGGCTGACCTCGTCAAGTCCAGCATCGTCACGGTTCGCAAAGCCGTGGTTGCCCTCGAGGTTACGAATGTTACGAATGTTGCACCCTCTGCGAGCGGGGCTTCAATCTAGGATACGGAAACGTAAAAGCACGCAAAGCCGCAGCCATGCCTATGCAGGAGGAGGAGTTTGATAAGCTGGAGAACTTGCTCGCTCAGTTGCTGAGCAGTGTGCTAGCGGAGGCGCGAATTTCTTGCAGCATTTGTTTCTACTCATGGTCATGAGGCTGCGTCTTCGGCGGGTGAGTGTGGATGCCAACTGGGTGCTCCTGTAAACCGAAGTGGTACGGTAAGAACCTGCAGGCAGACGAGCTGTCCGACTCGGTTCTCAACGTGCTTGTGGATGAAGTGAAACAGAAGACCAAATCACTGGGACCGGACGGGTATCCATATAGACTATAGATCGGGATTGAGTGGTGGCCGGCTGCCGGCTTACCTTCGTGATACATGCGGGTGAGATTGCACGGGGGAATCTTGCGGGCATAGCAAATTAGGAAGTTGACAGTTTCAGATCGTTGCAGGACTTGTTCAACGCGTGCTGGCGACTTTGGCCCGGCACAGTGCTGTGGTTCCTGTCAATGACTTCTTGAACCGGGTGTTGGCGGAGGCCTTCGTGGTCTGGAGTAGTGCTTGCCGGCTGTTACTCTTTGTTGAGTGCAGTCCGCGGGATTCATCCTTAATGTTTTGCAAGCCTGGAAGGCCTTCAGCTTACCTCCCCAGGGCCGAGAAGAGCTGCTACTTCTGCCCAGCACGACGGAACGAGTAGAAGCCATACTTCTCGTTGTGCACGAGCTCTACATGATTGATCCCGCATTGGTGGCACGTGTGCTTCCCAATTTGCAGGCCGAACTGGTGATTCTCGCAAGGATTTGTTCATATCTTTCCTGTGTTTTTGTTTCCACGAGCACATGCGAATCCTTCACGAAGATGTGGTGGCAGGCATTTTAGTTCGTGGTCACGAATATGTGCATCAATGCATTGCATGTAAGGAGTTCGGATGCGGGTCGCCGGAGAGCAGTCACTGCTCTTGTTGGGCACATGCTGGCACATCGTTCTTCCAGGGAGACGAAAACTGGGCTTGCCGGCGTACGACCTCTTCTGGCAGCTTCCCATCCCCTCATTGTGGATCGACATAGAGAGAGACTGGAAGATGCGGATGATGGTGTTCGGTCCGCTGCTTTGGATGGTGCCGGTGCTGTCCTGCGATCAGCTGCATCCGTCGCTTCAACGCAGCCTGTCCCCCCCGATTGCCAGGAACTGCTTTCGGTAGCTTCTGCACTGGTGACGAAATTGAAGGCAAGAAGCTTGGATCCAAATGACTCAATTCGCATGGGCACGATCAACGTGGTTCTGGATGTCGCGGCAGAGTCCACTGCGGGGTTCACTCTCTTGGAGCCCATTCTTCAAGATGTTTGCCATCGCATCTTGGACAAGAAAGCCAAAGTCCGTGAGGCTTGTGCCGAACTGATGGCGCGGCTCTATGCCAAGCACGCTCTACCGAAATGGATCATTGGCCAGGCTGCAGAACGATTGAATTGGATACCGCAGCAGCTGTGTGAAGCATATTTGGTTCTCAACAACACTGGGATGGGCCAAGTCTCGCAGTTGGAGGACAGGGATTGCAAACGAATGCAGTTTTCGGGAGGACATTGGCAGTTTTCGTAATCCCATGAGTGTGCGAATGTGTCTGCAAGCTTCCGGGAACTGGTTGAGTACTAGGGTGCCCACTTGGACTGCCAGCCCAAAGCCTTGACATGACTGTGAGATGGTGATTAAAGGGTGTTGATCTTGCAAAAAGTGCAATTTAGCGGCTCCCGAAGGAGCACATCGAGCAGCACATCCTTGGTTGTGGTGCAGGCATGGGTGCAGCCCAGCGTAGTTTGGCACTTCTTGGTTTCTACTCCTCTGCGGCCGCTGGAGCGCCTAGCTCTTCGCAAGGCTTAGCCCTGCTGCTTTCCAAGAAACGGGATGCCAATGAGGCCTTCCAAAGGTTTCTGAAGAAGAGGATTGCGAAAGGAGGGCCTTTAATGCCACTGCCAAGTGATGGGATTCTTGTCCCAGTCTCAGTGGGCGAAGCCCCGCGGGAGGAGGTCGTAGAGGGCCTAGCAAAGCACAGCCCGACTTTCGAAGGCAGCACCAAGATTGAGACTATCATCGCCCAGCTTTCTGTTTTGGATGGGGTTCGTGACAAGGCTCTTTGGTCCTTGCTGCAGTTGCTCATCAGCATACCGAGCAAAGACCATCCTGATATCTCAAAGCTCTTGGACGCACTAAAGGACTTGGACAGACTTCTGCGGGTGCACAATCTCGTGAGCTTGACACCATTGATTCGCCGTGCCCTTCTTTGCACTTGGGTGTCACCGGATCAAGTGTCTGTGATGTTGGACCTTTGGACTGGCAGATGGCCAGAAGCTTTCCAGCGAGATGAGGAGCCAGTGCCGCGACACATATCTTCCGCAGCGAGAGCTTGCGCTGCTCATCTTCCCAAGTTTTTTCCTGATGCTTTCTTCCAGCATACCAACTGCCTGCTGAAGATCGCTACAACCTCGGCAGAAGATGCACACGCAGGTTTGAAGGCTCTAGCAGCAGTTGCAAAGCGGACGGAATCGGTGGGTGATGCGGCTAGGTCTGCAAAGACACTGGAACTGGGCGATGTGCTCCTCCAAGTCTGTGAGGTTGCTTGCGGCGAGACTCTTCCATGCGGGATGCCTTTCCGCAAGGCCGTGAAAGCTTTGATGCTCTCGCCGGATCCAGAAGGGAGGGCGCTCGCTGCGGACAAATGGCTGATGTGGGCACGAGACAAGCTGGAAAGCGGCGAGGACAAGGTCGCGGCCTTGAGTCTTGCATCGGCCGTGTTTGAGCAAGACTTCCCCGGTGGGCTGTTCCACGGCTTGCAAAACCGCGATGGCTTCTTGACGGTGGCCCAGGGCATTCTCGCAAGCAAAGGAAAAGTTGCAACGGATCTCCGTTTTGCTTCTGCGGAGTGTGTAGTAGCTGCCGGTTCCGAGGAGGACGTTCTTGGCATTCTTTCGCTCCTGAAAACTAAAGGGAAGGCGGAGGAGGAAACTACCCCTTGGTATGATCCACAGCCAGCGCAGATAGTTTGTTGCTTGTTACGCGTTCTTCGATCTGGTCGCTTGCAAATCTCAACAAAGCTTCTCTTGGAGCTGGCATCGCGAATGTGTGTCTGCTTAGAATCCGACAGACCCACCTGCGAAAGCGAGAAGCTTCTTGACTCGCTTCAACGACTGCAGCATCCGTCAAGCACCAAAGTTCGCCTTGCTGATCGGCTTCGACTTTGTCTTACCATACCCTTGGTCTTTGCTTTCTCACCGGTGAAGAAACACAGAGAGGTTGTGAACCGGATGCTGCAAGCTTCATTCATGAAGGCCTCGCGGCGGGCGGAGGAACATCTTCTTGAGTTTGCCATTGCTTGCTTCATTCACTTTCTATCAACGGTGGAGATTTTTCGGAAGGAAATGTCCGCGCCAGCATCATCTTTTCCAAATAGCAGCAAGATGTGCAGCTTCTTGTGCGAAGCTCTGCTGCGAAGCGATTCGCAGCATTGCATGGAGTTGGCATGGACCGTCATTCAGGTTTGTGACAGAACCTTGGATTTCGTGGATCGGGAGGAGCCGGCATCAGATGCCGTGCATAAGGCAGCAAGTGTACTTCGCTACGTGATTGAGAAGCGCTGTCCAAGCTTAGCGGGACAGGTCGCAGAGACACAGGTAACAAAGGGTGGAATGCCCTCCGAACTCTTCGCCGCCAGACAACTCACAGCTCAGAGGGCTTTGCCAGGCACCGGTGAACAGCCTGGTGTCAAGACTGGCGAGGATGCAGGAGACGGATCTCTGCCCGATGCTATGGCGAAAGAGCCGCCAAAGGACCCGTCTAGCCCTGGCACCATGCAGACTCCGCGGAAACGCCCAAGTTTGTTACAAGCACGGCGACGTGCTTCGCCTGAGGCTTCAGATTCTGGTCGCTCCTCAGTGGTGGCCGTAGCTCGTCCCATGGCTGGAAAGGCCCTCGCCGTGCCCTCTGCCTGGAGCACTGCTTCCAAGAAGAGGCGCCAAAGCTAGGCCACTTCCTGACCCTGAACGGAGCAAGTCCTGGGGTTCTGCCAAACGGTGGACGAAGAGTTAGCTGTCTGGCCGGGGAAAGCATGCGCTGACGGAACAGACTGACCTGCGACCGGATAGGGTGCAAACGGAGATAATTGATCAGGGGCAAGCGGCAAGCGGCTTCAAGGGACAGTCTGATTCGGCAATGCCTGCTGGTGTACAGAACTTGCAAATTCATCCAGGCTGACATTGGTGTGTGGGGGACAGTTGGCCAAACAGTGGTTCCAAAGCTTGTATGTAGCAGTGTCCTGCCTTCCATCGGTCGATATGCCACAGACTATGCCGGGTACTTCGGATTGCTTTGGTCGTGATGAGGGATGTGTGGGATCCCAGGTCCAAGAGAAGATGCGGAAACGAAAGAAGCTGAAGACTGCTCAGCTGCATTCCGTTCATCCCTTGCGTGGTCATTGAGCTTGCTTCTCTCCCGGATCTGCAGGTCGAAGGTTGTGTGGAAGGGCTGTCGTTTCTGATTGGTGCCGCAGCAGCTGCCGGGGACTGAGCTGACATCTTGTCGGAGCGGCGGTGCTCGGCGGTGCTAGATTCGGCTAGATGATGTTCTCCATTGTTGGCAATGCAGATGACACTTCAGTTTACACAGCGGGCAGTTCGAGTCGATGGAAAGGCAGACGATCTGCCAAGAGCTCGCCAAGTCTGTCTTCGATTGTGCTGTCCCGAGAGTGTGGCATCGGTCCCAAGAGCAAATGACAGGGGAGAATGCTCAGAGAAGGTGATACCTTCATACGTCAAGATACTCCCCGCATCTGTAGAACTGATTGTTCAGAGAGCGCCAGTGGTTAATCAGCCTCACAGTTGCTCAGGATGGCAGTGCAAGAAGAGCTGAAACTTGGACGAGTGGACAACGTGAACCCCGGAGGTCAAATGCCTCGAAAGCTTGCAGTGCACTGTGAACTGAGATGCCAGGCCGAAAAGGTGAACAGAAGCCTGCAGAACTCCTGCCGCGCGGGACCTTGCATGATGCCAGAAAGAGTAGTAATAGCATGTTGCAGTTGACGCGGCAGCCTACTTTGGGACCCCTGTCGTTGGGTTGGGTATGAGGGGTGCGGTGAGCTGGAGAAGTGCCAACGCTTTATCTTGCTCAGGTCTTCAGTATTGCATGCGCTCATTTGCGCTCATGCTCGCGGGGGCGATGCAGACGCAGCCTTCTCGCTTTTGGGCTCATTGGAGGCAGGTTGGGCACTGGCCGGGCCTTTGCAGCCTCGGCTGACATGTAGACCCTGTGTGGGAACGTTGTCCCACTCAGGCATCTCAGGCAGAGAGCAGTGCTGGTAACTCTCTCGGCGCTCGAGAATACCCTGCGGCGGGCAGTCGCTCTTGCATCTTCGAGTCTAGGTGCAACCGAGAAGATTCCGGTGGAGATCTTTGAAGCCCTCGTCGAAGGCTGTTTACCCTTTCAGCCCAGGCCTTAGCTGTGACTGTGACAGTGAGTTTCGACGCTGTGCCTGAAGGCTTGGTGAGTGGGGGGCGCGTGGAAGCTGCCTTCGCTGCTTTTGATCGAATGCGGACGTGGGCGCTACTGGTCCGTCGCTCTTTCAGTATTTTTCCAAAGGAAGAGTGCTGTCCTTTCACAAGCTGCAGGTTCCGTCGCCGCAGCTGTACACACAGATGATCAAAGCTTGTGGGATTGTCCGGGTCGCTCGCCTGGCCTGTCGTCCAGCCAAGTTGCTCGGGATGTTTTGTAGTGCGTCCTGTGACGTGCAAGTTTGCGCGGGAGCTTGCATATGATAGTTTGAGATGGCTCGGCGGTACCATTGTCCCCGGTTGAAGTAGAAGCAGTGTGCCACGCATTTGGTGTTGCCTTTCCACCTGAGCTACATATTGGCTTACAGCCGATGTGGCCACTCAGTCGAGGTTGAGCGTGCCAGGCCCGCTTGCACGGAATATTTGATAAAAACACATAGCACAACTTTCGGGGAGGCTTTGATGCCCGGTGCTCGTGGAAATTACCACATGCATGTCGAACCTTTGTTCCCCAGGGTTCGGGAGCGGCACAGATGATCGCACGTGTATTATTTTTGACCAGCGGTGTTTGCTGGCAGAACTTTGGCTCCAAAGGACCTGCTCCACCGAGTTTTTATTGAGGCGAGTGCTCTGGCAGGCCGGCTGCTCGCGCCTCTTCAGGCTCGCAGAGTGGCGTGGCATGGACTCCCTGCAGCACAGAGGTTGGCCTTCACTCGTGATTGCTAGTCTGCTAGGTCCACATGGTAGCTACTTGGACCGAATTGCTGTAGAAAGACTCAGGATGGCGGGTCTCACTTCTTCTGCGATGGCCACTTCATACATGCCTCGGTGAACCTGAGACTCTCGGCACGGCTGCACGGGAGATTTGAGGTGGCACGTTGTTCGCAGGCTTGCTCGGAGGTTGCAAGTGACTTGGTAATGGTACCATGGTGATGATGTCCTTTTACCTTCTGCCTGTGTCGACATGCTAACATGCAGGTTGGTGTTTGTTGGCCCATATTTGAGCCATTCTGCCGGAAAGCTTGGGTCATAGACTTCAATTTTGGATTGAGGCTGTTGGAGTGTTTAAAGTGTGCGCTGGGAATGTCGCTCTGCAGCACTGACTCTATCTCGGAACTGTCTTGGACTCCCAACAGCCGAGAGCAGCTCACCATGCAGAGTCATCCTGAACAGCACCGCAAGGCTAGACTTGTCACCGAATGTCTCGCCTTTTGATAAGTGGGCATTCGCTGATTTCACCCAAGTCGTTCCAAGGATGGTCTTGGATGCTCTGGGCGCTGGTCGGCTTTTGTGGTGTCCGCTCCGCAGCTGTTCAAACAGACGCTGTTCAGACGGACACCCTCCATGTATGGGTGCATGCCGCATGTCTGCAGAACTCATGTGCGGGTGACCGAAGGACGGAGGGTGGCCTGTTCTTTACATTACCAGAACTTGCAGCTCTGTGTTGATGGGGCGTGAGGTTTTGCAGTCTTTGCTTTGTGGTCTGCTAAGCTGCTCTTTACTTAGGACTCCAATGCTCCACCAAAGCTGCAACCCTGCGACAGTGTTGGAACCGGCCCCTGGTTCACTATCAAAGAGGATGCTTGGGAAGCTCCTATTTGCGACTCTTGGCCGCAGCTTGAAGCAGCTGTGATTGTTCGGCATAAACAGAAATTCGTAGTGGGTCTTCGTCGCGCGATATGCCCCCTTGGGCTACTAGCTTGTCCAACATGCTAGACTCCAGCTAGACACGTTGGTTGTTCGATTCCCTGTGGCAGGTCTCCCTGACCGATGATGCCAGCGAAATGGAAGGTACCTATGTGGACCTACACGTCTGGGTATCCAGAGGCGCACAAGGTGAAGTTGATCTAGGCGGTTAGCGTGTAAGCCCTGAGTGTTCTGCAGAGCCCACCAAAGCTTTGATTGATTGCACCATGACGGCGTCACGAGCTGTGGCTGACAGGGATGGTGCGCTGCGACGGTGTGGCTGGAGCTGAGTCGAGACCGAACTTGTTCACAACGCAGTGTGGAGGCAGGCTCTGATTCAGGGAGCATGTAAGATGTGCACACCATACTGCAGCGAGGTGTCTCCAGTCGACCAGCAGCCATCGTGAAGGAGTCGTGCGAGTTGCATACGGATGGGAAGCTGCGTGCAAGCCTCCGCGAAGCACGGAGCTGCTTGGAGACCTTCGGCATCACATTAAGGTGGGCACATAGCCACATGCAAGGGAGAGGCATGCATGGCTGTAGAGCCTCATGCTAGGCCCTGCTAGGCTTCTGCAGTGTAAGTTGTTTTTGTGTGTGTGTGTGGCACAGCATCATTTTCTCAACAACTTGCTTACATCGAGCAGCGTGCCAGCTTGATTGAGAATCATTCCCTCGGTTGGGAAGCTTTGATTGCTGATCCTGTCTGCTGAGGAACTTGGTGTACACTCCTCCTTCAAACTTCAATGGTGGCTTGACGTGATTGAGTCACAGTTTCGAGGCCCTATGCAATCTCCTTTTTTGCTGCATGAGCCCCGGTGCAGCCCTTCGAGATTAATATGTACTTGCCACAAATGACACATGGGTGTGATGTGCACCGTTTCATCAGGTGAGGTGCAGATGCGCATCGCTGTCTCGGATACTTGGCTCAACATTGGAATCGCTTGTGAACGGCGGTTGCAACATGTCTGATATCGTGATGTCTTGAATGCCAACGTGATCGGCTGAGAACATGAATTCCATTCAATCGCTGCAGCTTGTTCGGCTCCACTTGTTCCAGACAGGGTAGCCACGGAGCTTTGGTGTATGCTGTACTGGATGCTGCGACTGTGTACCAGCTGAATCTTCTTTTTAGCGTTCGTGATTGCTTCGGTGCCATGTCCGATCATGGCCCTGTTCTGCTGTCCGGTGCAGCAGCCCCGAGCAGACTGGCCACAGCAGGTTATTGGACGATAGCATTAGGCCACCTCTGGGTCTTACGCATCCACGCGCTCGCCACCGGCGCGGAGGCGATGTTGTTTGCAACCCTGGCTTTGGTCGAGGTTGCTTTGGCTTTGGAGGCCGCGGTTTATGCCATAGGCAGCCTGGGAACCAGAGTTGGGCTTCCCTTGTTGACACTTCTTGGTCGGATACGTCTGCTGGGAGCTGCAATGGCTTGGCCGTGGCTGCTCCCGTGGGTCTCCGAGCTCAGCTGCCGTTGCCGAGTCGTCTCTCCAGGGAATGGCGTCTTTCTGGTACATGTTACGACCGCGCTAGCCGGCTTGATGACGGTCTTCTATTTCTGGGGCGAGGTGCAGCTTTTGGTCTTTGCATCTCCCGCCTCGAAGGCGAGTGACTCGATGGGATGCCTGCCAAGTCCAGTCCTCGGAGGCCAGTTCCGCTTGGACAAAGCGGACCTCGAGGAGACCGGCAGGGCCGTCTTCGTCCCTGCCCAGGGTCAGGCAAGGCGAGGCCTCTACGCAGGAGCTGGGCTGGCCTTGCTTGGGCACCTTGGCTTCGGCCTAACCTTTGCGGCGAATACCGGTTTCCCGCCCTGGCTTCTGCTGGGTGCTCTTCTCGTGATGCTCGGCCGTTCATTTGGACAGCTCCCAGCCACGTTGAAGGGCCAGGAGAAGGGTGCTCTGAGCGACTGGCGAATCCTTTGGCGACGTGAGGCTCCCCGTTTGGTGGTTCGCCTGTGCGAGTTGATTTGGATTTGGTGCTGTATGTTGGAGCTGCAGAGGTGCGAAGTCTCTGGTGACTGGCTTCCGGTCTGTGTGGCATAAGACATGTTTGCCTGAAGTGCAAGATTTCGTGTTAGGTGGGCTCGGTGTATCATGTGCCCATGCAAAGAAGCCTCGTCGAGTTTCACAGTTCGGACTTTTACTCAAGAACAAGACTGGCATGACTCAGAGCACAGGGAGTCACAAGACCATAGAAAAGAGGCCTTTTGCGAATATCGATTTCTGTAACTAGTGTATTCCAACTTTTCTGAAACGATTGACCTTAGGACAATGGGTTTACTGGCTCCTTGCAAGCTTCGGCCGGTGAAATCCGGACCACAACCGAGCTGGGTACCATCCAGGCAGCACGGGCTTCTTGGGGTCGGGCTTGCACCAATTGCGAAGTTGAAATGTCATGCCGCTGAGATTTCATGGTGGTTACGGGTCTTATTGCATGCTTGGCAGCCTTCGGAGATGTCAGACGTTGTGTCTGTCCTTCGGACGTCAGTTTCAGAGCGAAGACGCGATCTATATACCGTGCGAAGCCAGCTTGGCAGCAGGTAGATGCTGTGAACGACATGCCATACCTTACCTGGATTACCTTGCCGCCGAAGGACAGCTAGTCGGAGTTCGCCAGGTGGTCATGTCGTGTACTGTGGTGTTGGTATGTATTGGCATTGTCGGCATGTGCACTTTTGAAGCTCCCAGAAGGAGATGCTGAACAACGAGTCCTTTCCATTCCAAGGCCGTGCCGGATTTCCACTGGTTGATGTTTTGCAAATGACAGCCCGGGAGGGCTTCGAATACACGACCCTGATGTCGTGGGCTGGAGGGCGGAAAGGAGAGTGCGCTCTTACTTGTACGACCGATGGTTGACTTGACCACAATCGCGGCACAAGAGCTGGGTGCAGGACCGACACCTTCACACTGACGTTTGACACACTGGGTGGCGAGATCTTGTTCCCACTTGGTGAGCCCCTTCTTCGCGAGCAGGCGCTCTGCACTGCCCTGTCTTCATACTGTGTGCCAGATCTGCTTCCTTGCAGGTGCCTGCTCCTCCACATCGGAGCAAGTACGTGCGCTTACAAGGGAATCTCAGTGCTGTGCAGGCCCGCAGTATAACGAGAAAGTGGAGCAGACAGCCTGATACAATAAAATTCATCGTCTATGCGGCGAAGGGGCCTGTCTAAGGCTAACGCAGAGCATCAAAGTCATGCGCGAAAAACTTCTGCTTAAGCGCACTTGCTTCTCAGGAGTCTTGCGCAAGGTTCATCTACAAGCCTCCACCCGGATTTGTGGGTGAAGACATTGTGACGGTCCGAGTGTCGGATGGTGGCCTTGGCGGTGCTGGCAACCTCACCGGGGAGCTTGGCTTCCGGGTCAAGGCCTGGCCTTGGGCCCCGAGCCCTTTGAAACTTTGCGAGCGCGCGCGTTGCCCAGCGGAGGTGTCCCAAGCCCTGGTGCCCGTGGACCTCGTGGTGGAGTCTGCCAAGCTCACCACTCAGGAGGACGAGCTCCTTCGCTTCGGACGCGAATCCAGGACTGCCGCTCTAGGCCGCTCTAGGCAAGTTCTGTCGAAGCATTCTTTGAAGGACGCAGATCAAGTTCCCATCTCGCTCTTCAGACTTGTTCCTGAAAATCTTCTCCACCGACGGAGCACTCGTGCATCCCTGGGGAGAAGATCTTTCGGAGACTGCCGCTACGATGTCCATCATCCCTGGAGGCTGGTCCTGCATGGTTTGCGGATGTGACGGTTTTCATCGACTCTGTTCATCCCGGGCAGGTCCGAACAATCTGCGTTACCTCAACATCTCTTCCACCAGCCTTGAGGTGTCTGGAACACTGGCTGGGTTGAACATCCTTCTGGATGAGGCGTGGCTAGGACAGGTCATAGGCACTTCGTAGGGACATGTGAGCACATGTGAGCATCTGGAGCAGCCCGGGTGCCTAGTGCACAGGTCCATTTCCGCCACCCTACCAGAGACTGGTTCAATGTGCCGGCCCGCCCGTCCAGAATCAGCCTGCAGGCCTGAGGAGGGGGAGATGTACAATCCAATATCGTGCTTGGCGCTCTCGTGATTAGCCTCAAGCCAAGCAAAGACGAAGAGACTGCTCTAGTCTGGCTGATATGTTGTGCTCCAGGCCTGCCAGTTCGACATGCTACTGGATCGAACGACGCCTGGTACCTGTTCCACGAAGTACATCGAGATTGATATCAAACCAGTCGATGACGCCCCAAGCGTTGTGTCTCTGGAGCATCCATGGGCGCTGCCCCTTGAAACTCTGGAAGACACTGCAATGCAGCTTTGCTGCTTTACCATCTTCGACCCAGATGTACGATCTGCTGGGGCAACGGCTTCTTTCAGCGGTGCTCCGTGGCTTTTTAGGATGCGCATAATGGCAAGATTTGGCAACATTAGTGTTGCACAGAGCGTGGGTAACATCGTTCTGACAGAGCAAGAGTACAACTTGATTGGCTTCGAGGGATATGCGGCTGATTTGGAGCCACTGCTGGATTCCATTGTGTACACGCCAGCGGAGAACATGAATTCGAACCATGCCGTTGACCATCTGTGTTTCTTTCTGACAGACTCGCCGGGTTCGAAACGAATTGGCAACGTGAGAGAATTCACCGGTTGCTGGGACATTTTGATACAGCCAGTAAACGATCCCCCCACTTTAACACAGATGTTCGATGGCACCTCACTGGAGCCTACTTGTGATTCTCTTGAGCTGGTGAATGAAAGCTTCGAGAACTTGACTGGCAACTTGACATGTGCATCTGGCATTCGGTTCAGGCTTGAGAACCACGGTGGCGAAAACGCAATGATTCCGCTCCCCTCTGTTCGGATTGAGGATGTCGATTGCGAAGAGGTTGCATCCGACCAGCCCCCGCTGTCCGTCTTTGTGCGGGCTGAGCTTGGGAGTATTCCGCAGCCTGCCCCGTGTCCTGGTTTGCAAATCCGTCAGGTTGGCACGCAGCTATACGGTTTCTGGTGGGAGATGATGGGAAGCGTGTCTGCGCTCAACAGCTGCTTGGCATCAGGCCTCATGTACCAGCCGCCTGCTTCCACATATCATGGCAACGACGCAGTTTTGGTTGAAGCATCTGACCTTGGCCACCACGGGCTTCTCACAGAGACTGCAGCTGGAACTGTTCGGTTGAAGATGATGCTGCACGTGCACCGGGTGGAGGAGCCTTTGACGCTGGAAGCATCCCCACAGCTATTGCCCCAAGCCATGGAAGATGTGCTTGTCGACATCAGGTCCTTCACATTGCGAGCCTTGTCCAAAGCCAGCTGCTGCCAGTAGCCGCAGGGTCAGCACTGAAGCACACGAGTCGTTTGCATCTTCAGCTCGTCCGTGCAGCTTGTGAGATGCAGTTGAAGCTAGGAAAATTATCGCTTCCCGTGATGCTGCGAAACCGAACTTGTGGTCTCGAGCATAAGCATTCATGACTCCAGAGAACGTGGTAATCCGAGGATATTCGCAGCTGCAGGCGGACGTGATGGTTCGATTAGAGCTGACTTCCTCGTGCGGACGCTTGTTTCTGTCGACGCCCGGGCCCTATAGAGGCTGCTTTTGAGGCTGCTTATGACCTTGTATTTAGGTTGTGCAGAAACAGCACGAGCGGCTGTCCGAACAGAAGCGCATGTCCTGTTTGCTTCCGTGCGGACGTTGGTCGCTTTGCCGGGTCGTGTCTTTTCTCCCACCCTCTTTCTGTGATGGTCGTCTTGTGCGATACACCTCCTGCGCAGGGCCACGGGGCACTTGCTAGATGTGCTCTTAATTAGTCAACCTTCCAGGTCACTGGATTGGCGAAGGGAGAAGGCCATCGTGATGGAAACCCCTATCAGTGGAGAGAGCCTGCGCTGGCGCGGGCGTGCTAAGGATGTGGATGCCATGTTGCAGAATGTCACCTATTCCTCTGACCTTCCAGGCTACTGACGGCCAAATTGTGCTTCCTGTAGATGTCCGGACATGGGCCCCCTAATTAAAGATGATTCGCTCATGTTCACTTGCAGGCCTGTCGTGCATTTACGGCACGCTGAGCGTGGAGCAGAATCCTGAGACTGGAATCTACGATCTGGTGCTGCGCCAAATGCTGCAGATACCAATCATTGGAGTGAATGATGCGCCACAGGTCTCAGGCGCCTGGGTTTCATGCAAACCTTCTCTATCAGCAGACAGAGTTGGGTTCTCTTGGGTTGGTGTATATGTTTTGGGTTGTTGTCACATGTACTTTTTGTACGATGAGACAAGGCTTGCTGTGTCTTAAATGCTGTTGAAGTGGCTGCTAAGTGACCACAGCTCAGAGAGCTACTGCAGAGCTCCGACTTTGATCACATTCCGGTCGTTGGTCGTGTGCTGACAATGGCCAGCCGCAGGTAGCAATTTTTGTTTCGTAGCTAGGCCATGGAAATGGCATGCTGGGATGTGCCAGCGTAGAGGAAGCAACATTCCGAGAGATTCCGAGAGCATCCTGAGAGCACCGTGACCGACCTCCCACAAAAAAGTCTAAGACGACCAAAGCATGCACGAAATCCAAGCCATCTTCAGGCCCAGATGACTGGTCCATCCAGGCTGGGACTGTGCCTTGGCACAACAGCCTTCGTTTTCTGATGTTGAGCAGCTGAGGGTTTAGGGATCACGATTTACGGTTGTCAAGGCCATTTCCCTGGCTGCCATGGGCATTCGGCTTGAAGATCCAGATGCAGCCGAAGGCCTTTGCCGTTAACAGAGCACGGAAGCATTTAAGGGGGAGAGAGGAAGAAGAAGAGAGTGGAGGGGTGTTTCTTCGGGGGGGGGGGGGG